TAAGGCACAACTATTGCATATTTTATCAATAAAATATTTTTACAACAAACTAGATTTATTACCCTTTCTTCTGATGTATATACGATTACATTCGGTTAACTCTAAGTATTTTAATTAAATCAAAACAAAACACTACTCCTCGTAATTTTACCGCGATGTCCCGAGCGCCCTTGACTCGTCCGCGAAGGCGAAATAATAGCAATATGGCCGCCCGTCTAAGGTTTCCCACACACGATGTAATTTTAATAAAATATTTTAAATAATTTTATGAATTAGTTTTATGCAATAATTGTATTTTTGAAATTGTTTATTTGTTCTAGTTGGTTATTTAAATAAAAAGCAAATAAAAAAATCAATATATAATATAATAATTTATTCCTTCCACACATTTATATATGGTAAGCCATAAAACAATTTTCAATGCAGAGATTGACGTCGCTGTGAATAATTTAAAACATTAGTATTGTTAAAAGAATAAAATAAAATTTGGCGAAGCATTAAAATATATGCGACCATGCAACACGTGCAAGGGCAACAGTAAAAAAGAAAGGTAGTCAAATCCACAAGTGCATTTTTTACATTTAGCGGAAATTAATCAACACGAACAAACATGTAATTAATGTTTCAAAACAAAAAAAAACCATTAGAACATTATACATATCCAACGGAAACCAAGCGAAAAATAAATGATGAATATTAGTACAAAACCCAAAAGTGCATTTTATATTAAATATTAGTATCATCTCAAGCAAAATATAAAAATATTATACCACCACTAGCAAAACAAAAATAATGCAAACATATTTTGCCGTGTATAGCGAACCTTATTTATCACGTTTCATGTAACGTCCGTGGATACCAAACAGTCCACATCAAAAAACCTGAGGAACACATTGACATTATTATGGAATCTTCAGTGAATCTATATATATAAAATTCAAAGGTGACTGACTGACTGACTGACTGACATAGTGATCTATCAACGCACAGCCCAAACCATTGGACGGATCAGGCTGAAATTTGGCATGCAGATCGATATTATGACGTAGGCATCCGCTAAGAAAGGATTTTGATCATTCTCACCCCCAAGGGGGTAAAATAGGGGGTGAAAGTTTGTATGAAACTTTGTCAATTTTATACCAATCGGGTTGAAATTCGGAGTGCCGGTAGATATTATGACGTAAATATCTTTTAGGAAAGAATTTTGATCATTTTCATCCCCGAGGGGGTAAAATAGGGGGTGAAAGTTTGTATGAAACTTTGTCAATTTTAAACCGATCGGGTTGAAATTCGGCATGCCGGTAGATATTATGACGTAAATATCTTTTAGGAAAGAATTTTGATCATTTTTACCCCCAAGGGGGTAAAATAGGGGGTGAAAGTCGACACTTTGTCAGTTTTACACCGATGGGGATGAAATTCGGCATGCAGGTAGATGTTATGACGTAGGCCTCCCCAAATAAGAATTTTGATAAATTCCACACCTTTTTTTTAAGGGGGGAAAATCATCGAATGACTGCTCCCGCCTGGGTGAGGCGGAAGGGAGTGTCAGACTCTTACTGACTAAAAACCACCCCGTTCCTTCTCCTGCACGTCGAGCCGGAGCCCCGGTTACCCGTTAGGTTCTCCGCGACTGCGAATCGGCATCGGCCCTATTGGGCCCCATCTGTGGTGGAAAAAATTCCACCCCTAATGCGGATAAAATAGGGAATGAGAGTTTGTATAAATCTTCTTAGCTATTGAATCTAGAATCATTGAATCTTTTTGGATTACATTCGGTAAAACGATGATTTGGGACCTGGGTAACGTATGATAGTATTTATCACAGAAGTCCGACGGGAACGGGAACTATGCGTCAATGCCCCAGGACTCTCTATCTCTTAACCACTGAACTTATAGTTGATAGAATAGTTTTTATTACTCAAAACTTACGTGGTTGGGCACTGTACTGGTAAGAACCCTGCGGGATTATTGACTTATTGAAACTACGATAACTTATTTCACAATAGGTAAATCTTACTTGGGCACTGAATTGATTCTGATGAATTCTGTCAGAAGTCATTAATCTACGCGGACGAAGTCGCGGGCAACAGCTAGTTTAGTATATTTCTCTTTGAAAAATGTATTATTTTGCTTATTACGAAATGTATTTCGATATTTTATATACTATTGTAATGCAAAGTATGTAAAATATGTATAAACAAAACTAAAAGTGGCCGACACCATACGACCGGCCATTTTTTTCGAAACAACAATCGTTTGAAGTTAAAAGTAGACTATATTTATCAGCTAAAACTGTGATATTTATACATCATCGTAAAGCACAAATCTTCTAGTTTATTTTGATGTATAACACTTGCAAGATAAATAAAACAAAACTGTAGTACTTACGACATAATTGTTGGCACTCACAAAAACACTTCACAACACGCGCGTCAAACGAGTCAACTGAACTTAAAAAATTATATTTTGTTTGTCAAAGCTTATTACACTGCCATCTCTATTTTTTTCGTCGAACTATTTATTCAACTGTATAGATAATCTGTCAAAACTCACCAAGCAAGACCGTATTTTAAACTAGAGGTCGTTAAACACAACTCGTCGCTTTGGATACTATAGTATCCATGGGCGTATGACGCTACTTTTTTCTTGGATACCGTACTATCCACGGACGTCAGAGTGGGTATACCCAAAAACCTTAATATCTAGGGGCACATTAACCCATTTAATGACCTTGAAAATCTATGAAGTAATACAGTACACACATAACATAATTCAACCTCATTACTATTTGACTGCACAAGTGCACAGTTGGTGCGGTGGCTGGGCATCGTGTAGCAGATTCGATGCACGGAGCTACTATTGTGCGATCCACATACTGTTGTTTTGGGTCTACGTGTATGTGAACTTGTATATTTATAAACGCACCCACGATACAGGAGAAAATCCTTGTGTGGGCGGGGGGCAAAGATTAAAAAAAATACAAATATACAGAGCACAAATTCAAATGCCGTGTTATTACTGAGCAATTTAAAAAAAAACTTAAATATCCCAATATCACTTTTCCCAACCCAGGAATTAGCCTATTTATACCCTTAGGCAAAACTCAAAGATCCAAGATCTCGACAGGCTACTCAACACATTAGGCCAGGGGTTCTCATCCTCTTGTTGGCGAAATACCACTTTTCAGAACATTTGTTAGGTTGGGGACCACTTATAAGTATGGAACAGGAATGAAACTATACCAGTTTCATTCCTGTGGTCTAGAGCTAGGATTTTCTCTGGATTCATAAATCTCATTCTCATTCTCATAAAAATAGTGACTTCTCGATTATTGAAGTCAACAGTCAGATTTTTATTTTTAGTTTTATATCAAAAACTATAACACTCAAAGGACTTGCCCTTGCCCCATGTCATTGAAAATTTAAAAGCATTACTTCAAAAATAAAAGAAAGTACACTTTCAAGACAATCTGTACCTAAGTGGCTTTCTAAGATAACGTCTAATTAACTTTAAAAGTAACTGCTTACATTACCGTACTTAAGGCGCTACGATTAATATTTTAAGGGCAACCTTCCCAAGATGGTGGCACGATTTGTGATCTGACCCTTCCAAGTTTAAGAACACACAAATTGGTCAGTAAATTTCAAGGAAATGTTTTGATATTGAATTGGAAATGATGTTCATTTATACTCTGAAGCTATTTTTAGTTAGGTCCGTGGGTGTTCAGCATAATACTTGGTTTTCTTGGTAGTTGCATTGTGGTCTTAACGTTATGCTGTCTTTTCCCAGAATGGATATAACGAGCTGTCAGTAAGTTTTTGTAAATCTCATTGTTTCAACTGGATGGTTTTTGTTCAATTACTATTAATACTTCTATTGATCATCTTTAATAGAAGAATAGGTTCTGTGTCCATATTTATAATTCTTGTAAAAAGCAACTTCAAGTGACTGCATTTAAAAAAGTTAAATGGATTATGACGTCACGTAGTTCCTAATGAGTACCTTGTTATGTCATAATAATAAGACATTTCTCTTTTCATAGTTTAAAGATTGTTTTTTATGGCATAAGCCGGTAAACGATCAGACGGATCACCTGATGGTAAGCAATCGGCGTCGCCCATGGGCACCTGGAACACCAGAGGCGTTATAAGTGCGTCACCGGCTTTTTGGGGATTAGGAGTTTGAGGATCGTTGGGGATTCAGGGATTGGGGAGATTGGGGAAGGGGAAGGTAATTGGGCCTCCGGTAACCTCACTCACACGACGAAACACAACGCAAGCGTTACTTCACGTCGGTTTTCTGTGATGCCGTGGTATCACTCCGGTCGAGCCGGTCCATTCGTGCAGAAGCATGGCTCTCCCACACTTAAATGGTAACTGTTCATAGTTGTTGCTTCATTTGTACTATCTTTCCCAAGCCAACTAAAAGGTGACGTTTAAAATAAATCTCCATCAAGTATTCTTAGTTCTCAGTCCTTGAAATAATATGATGTAGATTTTTAATCTCCATGCAAATCTTAATAAAATCGTCTTGCTCTTGCTCAATGAACTAACGGGAGACGGGAGACGCTCGGTTTAGTATTCAAGATCATATCTAACCGACTATCTGAATATAAATTTGTTCAAAGATGATACTCAGTATTCTTACTTCCAATTGAATTTGATGCAATTTTATTTCTAAGTATGAATAGCATAGTTGAGGTGTACTTTGCGATCAAACTAGTGTATGCATTTTATATTTTTGCTATCAAAATATCAGAAGTTTTCAAGTAGTACGGTAATCATCGCTACAATGCAGAATAACCCTTCTAGACACTCATTGTATGCGGTTTAACGATGTAAGTGCTTTAGCACTTTACTTTTGTAGACAGCACCGAAGTACTATGTTTTATATGAAACTACGGTCGCATCAAAACTCTTTAGGTACTAGATGTAATACAGCAAGATAGTTATATTCCATAATGAAAAATATTACTAAAATAAAAACACCAAACTCACCGATCCATTTCGCGTCCTTGACAGTGAAGGAACGTACTCCCTCTCAACTGTAGCTACTGCTAGAAGTGGAGCGAAGATGGCCAGAGCTACCAGCCAGAGTCCTGCTAGAAGACTGCAGGCTCCTCGTCTTGAGGGCATCCAGGGTTGTCGAAGAGACTGCGTGATGGCCAAGTACCGGTCTACCGACATCGCTGTGATGGTAAACACGCTTGAAGCTACTGCTACTCCTGGGGACAATGTAAGAAGGTTTAATATTGGAAAAATCAGATATGACATAATTGGCTTTTGTTCTTCTGTCAAAAGGAATCCAAGATCACAATTTAATCTCAAACATAAATTGCTCAAATTTCTACGAATACAATAGGTACATGTACCATAAACATACCTACACAGCATAAAAGTGTCAGATTCTTTTGTCGTGTAATACAACACACATTTTTGAAGACACGCAATAATCCTTATTTTCTTATAAAAATCGATGTCTAGCTCTGCTTCTAGCTTAATCGTAGCTTAAACCGAAATCAGTCAACATTTATGGCCTTTTTATTCAAAAGGTATGTTTTGATAGAATATTAACTTTACTTAGTCCGTACACTAAAGCGTCATAAGGGTAGGAGCCATTATAGCATCATGACCTTAGATTGTGTTAAGCCCTGGCGTACTCTGTGGTTTGGCACAGATTCTAAGTCGATAAAGTGGTCGGTACTAACACACTATGGGTGTCGAGTTTACTAAGCGAAAATAGGTTTAAGCAACAAAGCCTGAATACAAAGATCGAATGTTTAAAACGAACTGTTACTACATCTTGAGATCTAAAGATCGATATACATGTTCAGTTATGAACGGACCTACAAATTATTACAAATAAAAAAGAAAATCCAACCAAATTAACAAACCATTTTCCGATCCAGCGCAAAATAAAAGCAATCAACGGGACAGTACCAGAAAATTTTCTTGAAACAAATGAGCTTATAACCAAAGTTGGCTCCTCAAAATTTAATCAAGCGTCTCTCAGCCCTGAATGTTATCAACCGGGTCCTACTGTCTTGTACGCCCGATATTATACAAGTTCAGACCTTAATACCGCAAATTATTGGGTTCAGAAGGACCACTTTACAAGAGGTTTTTCTTTTGATACATGAACCCGGAATATCTGATGACCAAAGGTACGTGAGTCGTTCACTTGATTGGCTTGAAAGAGTTTCTCAATTGCTTTTGTATATATTTTTCTTTGTTTCGTGATTTAGATTGTACTTGATATGGTAATAGGAACACTTGTGGACGTAACAAAGCGTAGCTGTGTTTATTATTTTTTGGGTTATTGAATTATTTTATATTTATAGATTTAAACATTATTATTAAGTACTCTTGCTCTGCCTCGTTGGCCGAGTGGTCGCAAGTGAGACTGCCGGGCTAGGGGTCTCGGGATCAATTCCCGGGTCGGGCAAAGTATAACAGGTTTTTTAATAAATTCTAAATAGTAGCACAGAGTCTGGAATTGTGCCTGGTATATATGCTCACCCCCTATTAAATGGGACTCATAACATAAATAGTGAAAAGTGTGTGTTACATTGTACAGTGGGCTAATGAATGTGCACCTCTGCCTAACCCTTCGGAGATAAAAGCCTTTGATTAAGTATATTTCAATCGTCCCTTGAATAACCAGGGGTATTGACGAACTGACTTTTGATTTTTTTGTGATCCAAACATTTTAACGTAAATGGAACTACATTATCATGTTGTACGACAGCAAAATTGTAAAACGTTGATAAAAACATCCAACCATTGACACAAGATCCTTCATTGGTTCTCAAGGTGGGAGAAGTAATTCAATGATTACCTGACCTGTACCTGAAATTAGAGTTCTTTTTCTTAGTATCTGGAACTCAATCTATTTGATATTATGAACATAAGTGCTCCAACTGTTACGCAAGAGTCAGTTACATCACTGATACTTCAGAAAAACTATGAAACGTTCTACACACGTAATCCAGACATCCAAATAGAGTGCCTTTCATTGCACTGTTACTTATGATGTAACAAGGTCGCATAGCAGTTGTGTAATAGTTCAATGTCTTAGGTAAGATGCCATTTCGAATGTATTACAAAAAAAAGTAAGCTAAGATTTATAGCTGGTAGTAAAAGTTTAAAAGCAATTGCTTCATATATCCGAGCGTACGGCGCGTCGTGTTCCGCGCGCGCCTCAAAGAGCAATCAGACCACCACAGATGGGGCCCAATAGGGTTGTTGCCGATTCGAAGTCGCGGAGAACCTAACGGGTAACCGAGGCTCCGGCTCGACGTGCAGGAGAAGGAACGGGGTGGTTTTTAGTTAGTAAGAGTCTGACACTCCCTCCCGCCTCACCCAGGCGGGAGCAGTCATTCGTTGATTTTCCCCTCTTAAAAAAAAATCGCTCCATATATTCATAATTATATCGAAAGTTTTGTAGAAAAAAAATCATTGTTACAATATTCATTACAATAGTTGTTAGGCACGAGAATCGACAGCATAATACTTAGTGCGTGCTGTCCATCGCCCAACTACCGCATCAACCATGGTATCGAATTCAAATCAAAATCGATTACAACAGAAAATGAAAAATCTATCATACTAAAACCTATATATATTATAAACCTTCTCCTCAGAAAAATTTGCTTTGTACCAAATACCAAAAGACTGATCTTAATTAAAGCAATTTTTATCATTCACTTTGTTTAAACCAAAACTGAATTAATTGACAATTTGATTGAGTTTTATTTCTAGTTAGGTACTTTGTTTTATGGAACAAACACTTAGTCAAACAGGAATATTGATCATGAAGCCTTAAATTCTATCTAAAAGTGTTACTGTTAGGAATATCTTAGTGTCTTAATATTTCTTTGTTCTTTTCTTTTTCATTTTGTATTTTTTTTGTATCTGTGTGCGTGCCTACTGTCGAATAAATGTTTTATTTCTTTTTTTCTTCTTAATATCTATGTGTCGGTGTCACACACACTACACGGTACTGTTTTATTGTAGTAGAAAAATAAACATCATGCTGTTGTTTTCAGTGTTTGCGTAAACGACCACCATCTCTAACAGTTACAATTGATGTGATGTGGTTATGTGTTAATAGTCCGTCTGTAACTTTCATAATTATTGCTAACACAGAGATCTATGAAGCTTTAACCATAAGAACTATTATGGAGGAGCTTATAATAACAGGAAATAAATACAAAATACGAGTGAAAGAGCATACGAATGGCCTAGCTACCACACTGGCAACTATAAACTACACTAAGCGACTGAAAGCCATGATATCGAAAAGCTAAGTGACAGGTGGTGAAGTGTAAAGGATTTCTTGCTGAGGGGGCTCTCTGGGCATGATAAACGGTAAGGTACAACAATCTATTCATAGTTTTAGACTAATTGCAGATAATCATAAAAAATACTGTTATTATTCTTCCTGAGATGGTCAAACGAGGTTACAGATTTTTTTTAAGGCATAAGCCGGTAAACGAACAGACATATCACCTGATGGTAAGCAATCGGTGCCACCCATGGGCACCTGAAACACCAAGGCAAGTGTTACAAGTGCGTTACTGGCCTTTCGGGAATTGGGAATTTGAGGATTGGGAACACTGGGGAGAGGGGGTAATTGGGCCTCCGGTAACCTGACCCACACAACGCAAGGTACCAGCGCTACCGCAACAACAACCAAGTGTATTGGAGGTTTTTGTCCCAGCCACCATTCAAATAACCGTAATTTTATTCTCCTCTTAGTGACACTAATACTAGATAATTGTTCACACAGGTAGATTAGCTTATTAATGTTAAATCGCAACCAATGACAGGTGAAAAATTGACTTCAATAAGTTCTTAATCAAGATTACACGTTATCAAACTCACTCAATCGCAATAAATGTTTAACTTAAGTTTAAATTTTCAATCACAAATTCCAATAGAGCACATACTGAAGTATGTCTCAACAAATTTAATTTTGCCCAACGAAAGTTGTTTGCGACCTCGTCCTGATCGTATGGACTCAGTCACGTGGAACATAAATCTTAGTTTATAGACCCTAACGTTTCGAGTGTGTCTTTTCTCAACACTATTATACTTGAAGGGTAAATAAAAAAAATAAAGATTCATGGAGCTGAAATTATTGATAAGGTCTTGTATTTCTAACGTGTTCTCTTTGGTACATTATTAATGTTACTCTTTGGAGGTTTAAGAAAAGGTCCTCTTACTACAAGTGGCCCAAACTGCTTTGCACTAAAGGATGGCAGCTATTTTCATGTTTACAAAATGGAGGGTGAGTAAACCAAGCCCTTGAGAGTAAACAATAACCATTATCACGGTGGAAAACCACATAATTTTGTTTAACCTTTATTTTACTGTCGTCTTGGAACCCAAATAGGGATTTACCGACCTCTAATGAAACTGTTTAGTTTGGCTATCAAATAAATATCAACTCTAAGGTGTTTTGCGAAAGTATGTAAAACTCAGCAACAGAGTGTATTCATAAATAAATTTTGTTAAATCTCGAGTGACACCTAGGTATTCTGTTTAGAATTTAAGGCTTTGTAGATGTATAGACTCGTCACAAAATATTGTAGAAATAGTCAAATTGGTATGTTATCATAAAGGTACATTTATACAACTGTCATTTTGACATACCCACGGAAATTCTTAAATAATGAGCCTGTGAAGGCTGATTTTTTAATGAACAGATATAATTCATAACAATATTGAAATTTCACAGTTTTTGATATGGAAGAACTCGTAAATATTTAATATTATTTTCCGACGAAAATCTGGGGTTCAAAATATCGGCTCTTAATCAACGGCCATGTTAAATTTATGTAACATTTAATTTATTTGTCGATTGTGTACAGCACTAATTAATGAAAAATTAAAAATAACAAACAAATACTATTATTATAACTACCCGATTCTTGCCATCCAAAACACGTTCTTATTTCCAGGCATATTTTGTTACATTTATGCCTATTTCTTTCCTTCTACTCTTTTATTGGCAATACAGCTTAAGTAAGTACGGTACACGTAATAGTAAGCGATCATCGTAGTTAAGTTCATTTGCAACACTAGATATATCATTATGTGGGTTAATTGTGGATCTTGTAGGAAACTATTTAATAAACTGAACTAGGAAATTTCTACGTTTTTTAAATAAACGTTGCTCCACACTAGGATTTTCTCCAGTGCCGTGGGTGCGTTTACAAACATACAAGTTCACATACACATGACACCCATACCCGGAACAACAATTTGTTGATCACACAAAGAGTTGCTCCGTGCGGGAATCGAACCCGCGACACGTTGCGCGGCAGTTGGTTGCCCATCAACCGCACTCACGGAGTTATCAACAAATAGTATAAGACATAACATAACATCACGCCTTTTATCCCCGAAGAGGTAGGCAGAGGTGCACATTTCGGCACTTAATGCCACTGTACAATGTAACACCCACTTTTCACTATTTATGTTATGAGTCCCATGTAAATGGGGGTGAGCCTATTGCCATATACCGGTCACATTTCCAGACTCCATGCTACTACTGAGATTTTTAAAAACCCAGTAATACTTTGCCCGACCCGGGAATCGAACCCGAGACCCTTTGCCCGGTAGTCGCACTTGCGACCACTTGGCCAACGAGGCAAATGGTACCTATAAGAGTCTGTAATTATAACTACAATGGAAACACAGCTTCATCAAAACTAAAATGAAATACCCAACAGTACATTCTAGAATGTTTCTATTCTCGGTATTATTTAGCACTAACAACTCTGTACGTAACTAAAATAACGGTACTGCAGTTCAGCAGGTGAACCTACCCTTTTCAGTCAAATTTCTTTGTTCAATTTTCAACTTCAGGGCTTTGAAATACAGTGGAAAATTCAATGACAAAAAATTACTGCGTGAAGTAGCTTGATCTACTGCCTGTGCAAAATACCTTTGCAGTAGTTAGGGCAATTATTATAATTGGCTAGTTTTGTGGTGTGGCGTCAAGTTCCCATCTTCTCGTCTTTGTTCGGACAGGAAAATTACCTTTTCATATTGTTAGTCAGACATTATGCTAAAATAGTTTCTGTGTTTAATGTTATTTAGTTTTCTATTACATTGTTAACTCTAAGTTGCTGTTGTTGGCTTTGTTAGTTGAGTGGTGATGTAAGGGTTCTCGGGTTCGATTTCTATGTCAGGCAAAGTATTATCTTAGTGTTTTTGTGATAATATTTATTTCTGATAACATATTTAGAAGCGGTGCTCGGTGTATGGCAATAAGCGCATCCCCAGTGAGCACCGCTGTACCGAACCCTTCATTGATTAAAAGATTGCCTCGTTGCGTTGGCTTCGGGTTCGCTTCCCGGGTCAGGCAAAGTATTACTAGGTTTTTTTTAGCACGGAGCCTGAAATTATAGCGGTATATGGTAATAGGCTCACAACCTATTTACATAGGACTTATAACATAAATAGTGAAAAGTGGGTGTTACATTGTACAGTGGCATTAAGTGCAGTAATATGCACCTCTGCCTGCCCTTCGGCAAAAGGCGTGATGTTATGTTATATAATGTTTTGTTTAAAATATTTTTTTGTCTCTTTATATATGAAAAGTATAGATTCACCTATTTATGAATATTTATTTCCATCAAAAACAGTAAAAGCACAGATTAAGTACTTAATAGTTACTACGTACGTGGTAAAAGAGCCAAGCTTACCTTGCAAAAAGTTGACAGTCTTGCACATAACCTCGCCGAAGTACCACAGCAGTGTGACGGACTTCGCGATCTGCACCGGCATGCAGAACAGCGTCACCAGCAGGTCTGCCACCGATAGGTTCACCAGGAATATATTTGTCACACTGCAACAAACGAAATAGCACTTTATTATATTGGTGATAAGTCAAGCATTTGTATGATGATGATAATTTTGTTTTCTTAAATAAAATTAACATTTTTGGGGATACACTAGGATTTTGTCCTGGTTGCCGGGGCTACGGCTCGAAGTGCAGGAGTAGGAACGGGGTGTTTTAGTCAGTAAGAGTTTGACACTTTCTCTCGCCTCACCCGGGCGGGAGAAGTCATTGGATTATTTTCCCTTTCTCCTGTGTCATGAGTGTGATAAATAATGTAAAATTAAATTATAAATATCTTAATATTGTATTTGAATAGAATGTTTAAAACTGTTATCGGAAGTTGTAATATTTTTCTCATTTAATTATTTTCATTAAAAACAATTATCTCAATATTATTTCATATGTAAATTAATATTTAAAATAGTGTTTGCGGATGTCTTAATATATTTTTGGTTCAACTTTATGATTTAATTAGTAATTAATTGATAAATTGACTTATGTGGGTAGAAAGGTATAAAAGGTAAGTACAAGTGACTTTCGAGTTAGTTCTCGTCTGGTTTTGAAGGAGTATACACCAATACTAAGTTAAGTACCAATATTGTTCTTGTGTTGCTATTTTTTTCTATAAACATAAACATTTTTAGTAAAACTAATAAAGCATTTGTGTTATCTTATATAATGTATATGATGTGTGATTATGATTAAATACATGTTTTTGTGTTAAAAAGGTTGTGTTTAAGAATACCTATGGTATACAGAACCTATTTTATTAAAATATGAAATATACGTTACTTGTAGTTTGACTTTCATCTGTCCCCTAATTAACTTACAATACTTACTTATTTAGTTTAACTTCTAGTTAATCAATTATATTGCTTCACTATCTCAGTCTATAACATCAGAAGTGGGATACGTTAGCTTAATATTTAATCAAATTCTGTGTTTTAGAATGGATCCTGAGACAGTCGGTAAACTTCTAAACGCAATTCGAGATGCAGTTCAACAGAAAGACGACGACATCGCTTTGCCAGTGTTTGATCCTGATAAAAGTGACTGTGGGGCCAAGAGTTGGTGTGATAGCATTGATACTCTTCGAGCAGACTTGAAGTGGAGCAGCATCCGGACCGCAGCAAAAGCCGGTAAGGCTCTGAAAGGATCTGCCTTGATATGGTTCGAGTCATGGGAACCGCCTGAAGGTAGATCTTGGGAGAGATTTCGTATAGACATTATCGATACTTTTCCCGAAAAGAAAATTTGGCCGAGAAACTTAGCAAGGCATTTATATACGTCAGACGCTACAGATTCTTATAGTGAATATTGTAGGGAAAAAATTCGATTACTTCGTAATACCAAAATTACATTTACTGATGATCAATTAGTAGAATTAATTTGTGGAGGAATTTCAGATATTGATGTTAGGATGGCTTCCTTAAACAGTGGTATCACCACTACTTCTGCTCTAATATCGCTTCTTTCAATATATGTAAAAGCAAAAAAGAGACCATTAGAGAATTCTAATGCCAAATTGCTAGAACCAAAACGACCTAAGTTAACGATGAAAAGAATGTTTTTCTTGCAATCAGATTGGTCACTTGCAATCTCAATGCCCCAAAAACAAACAAATTTTACGTACGCCCGTTAATCCAACCGTACAATTACCTAAAGCTAACAACCCTAAGATTTGTACTTATTGCAAAAAAGTTGGACACACTGAGTCTATTTGTTATCATAACAGAGCTGAATCAAATAATTCTCCATCTAAACTATTTTACCAAATAAAGAGGTTAATTTTTTAGAAAAAACGACCTAAAACTAAGTACAGTAACAATTAATGACATTCCAATAGATTGTCTTCTAGATACAGGAGCAAATTGTAGTCTTATAAAAGAATCAATTGCAAAAAGATTGGGCTGCCATCTTTCACCAGTATCGATTTACTTAAATGGAATAGGTCAAAATAAAATACATGTTTTTGCTATGATTACCGTACTAGTTAGATTCGAATCTGTTTGTTTAGAGCTAGATATATACGTTGTTAGAGACTATGATTTTAAATACGATTTGTTAATCGGCAGAAATGCTGTTCAATATCATGATATAGAAATCGTTACAAATTCATTAGGTAGTCGTTTAATTAGGACCCCGACTCTAACTAAAACGGAAGTTAATATGATTCTTAATACGTCTGATTCGGTTGAATTAACCTCAAAAATCGATCACTTAGACACGGAACTACAAGATAAAATAAGAAACATATTTCAAAAATATCCCTCGATCTTTGATAGTAGAACTACTGTAAAAACCGGTGAACTCAGGTTACGGTTGATAAAAGATGAAATTATTAATTATCGCCCTTATCGATTGGCACCGATAGAAAGGGAGAAGGTTAATGAGATAATTCAAGAACTTTTAAAGCAAAACATAATTCGCGAAAGCGACTCCCCCTTTGCAAATCCAGTTATTTTAGTTAAAAAAAAAGACGGCAGCGATCGTTTATGTGTAGACTATAGGTCACTAAATAAAATTTTGGATAAAGATCGTTACCCTCTCCCTCTAATCGAAGACCAAATCGATAAGTTAGGTAAGGCAAAGTTCTTTATTTCTATTGATATGAAAAATGGTTTTTACCAAATTCCCGTAGAACCAAACTCGATAAAATACACGGCTTTTGTGACACCCGATGGGCATTTCGAGTTTTTAAGGATGCCATTTGGGATTTGCAATGTGTTAACGCCGAACCGCGCGCCCGCGCATCGCCAGGCGGTGCAGGCCGGCGCGCCTGCGCTGATTCATTCCGCCACTGGCCGACCCAACGGTCACACGCACTTGTGCGGCATCGCTCGCCTCGATAGTTACACGTGTATGGTGTATCATAGATTTAGCTTGCCTAATTAAAGTGATTTATCTCTCCATACACCGTGTCATCATTTTCAACAACCCTCGTCAACAAGATTCGAGCCGGATACGTCTTTGGAAACCGTTTCGAAGACAAAGCGGAACAAAGAAGTATTGACATTGACGAGGTCATTCGAGAAGAAACGAGACACGAGTTGCCACGCAGTGCATGAAACACGGCGTGAATCATCCAATCTAAAAACGACAAATTCAAGAAATACGGTCGTCGCTGTGCTGTATTTTGTAACCACTACAGTTCGAGAAACCAAGATACGGGGTTTGCAGTGTGGTACTTGTGAGTTCGTTCCAATTATTCCGTTAATTCGTATTGAATTCCATTCTATTTTTTCCCATAAATTATTACCTAACAATATCCATGTACGATAATATTTCATGATCGAGCACGTGGATTAATTCAAACAGTGCACATCGCCATGTTGGGATTACTTTTCCTTATAAAATACCTCCGTTAAATCGTAACGGTATTAATTTCCCGATAATATTCCACCTTTCTCAAATTTAACGTAATCTTTGTTATCCACTTTTATACAGAGGTCTCATTTACTGTGTTGTACCAATTATACCAGTGCAGTGTAATCCATTGTACATTTCTAACGATCTTCTTTTTTTTAACATTTCAGCGGAACCGAGGGTCCAAAGTCCACGGCGCTTGGCCTACGTGACCGCGCGGCGGTCGCGCTGTAGGAAACCTAACCTACCCTCTCTGCTTCGCACTATTTCTGCCGCTACTTGCCTGCTTACCTGCAAATAGTATTTCTTGCCTGCAATTTCGAATTTAAGTATTTCTTCATATAATTCCTTTCACTTCGCTTTCATTTTCTTGCGTGTTATAATTGTTGTGGCTTTCAGCTGGGCAGTTTGAGAGTGATTTTAATACATACCTAATTGCATTTACTTATTCGCACAATGGATCTTAAATCATTAAAGAAAACTAGAGCTAGCCATAAAGCAAAGCTTACCATATTTAAATCATATATAGACACATTTTTGCCAAATAAAATTCTGAATAAGGTCCAAGTTTTTGAGATAACAGCTCGCTTAAATAAAATACAAGATTTGTACAACGAGTTTGACTCTGTTCAGACTGATATAGAAGGTATTGTGGAAATTCCAGGTGACGAGCACAAAGAACGGGAAATATTCGAAACCAGCTACTTCGGTTGCGTGGCTGTTGCGCAGGAGCTGCTCAACGCTGCCTCTGCGGGGCAGGAGACCGCATCGGTGGCGAGTTCTTGTGACAAAACTGGACATCCGGGTTTGCCAAACATTAAATTACCTACTATAAACTGCCGATCTTTTCTGGACGCTATCAGGAATGGTTAGAATATCACGACACTTACAAGTCCCTAATACACGACAACACAACAATACCTAAAATTCATAAATTTCATTATTTGCGTAATTCATTAAAGGATAATGCATCATTAATTATTAAATCATTGGAATTCTCTGCAGATAATTATGACGTCGCATGGGATTTGCTTTGCGATCGATATCACAACGATCGAATTCTAGTCAACAACCATATACAAGAATTATTCAAAATACAACCAGTAGTTAAAGAATCTTCACAGGCCTTAAGAAACACAATAGATTCAATCAATAGAAACTTAAGGGCTCTAAAAACATTACATTTACCTACCGAACACTGGGACATGATCATTATACACATGGTGACTAGCAAGTTGGACCCATCTACAATACGTGACTGGGAAAGAGAACGCAACAATATCACACGATTACCCACTTTACATGAATTTAATACATTTTTGAAAAATCGTGCTGATATTTTGGAAACTATTGAAGAATCATCAGTACATACAACTCAGCAGCAATCACAACGTAGACACAGCGACATCACCCACAATCGTTCTAAGACATTCCTAGTTAACCAACCAACCAAAAACCAAGCACAATTTAAATGTCCTGTGTGCAAGAATAATCACACTATTTACCAGTGTGTTAAGTTCAAATCAATGCCAATCGAGACGCGTATTGAACGAGTCAAACAATTAAATTTATGCACAAATTGCTTGCGGTCAGGACATGACGAACAGCGTTGCAGGCTTAGTTCCTGCAGGCTGTGCACACAGCGTCATAACACTCTGCTACACAATAGTAATACTGTTCCCAAAGCTTCAATTTCATCAGAA